AGATCAGCAGATATGCAGTCCCACCAGGTCTTTGCTAATTGCTGCTGCCACTAGTCTGAAGGAGCCAAGTGGGGAAGTTGTGAGGTAGAGGCGCTCGGTGAGCCGAAGGTCGAGGTTTTATTTATTAGAGGTTTAGTTTTGTTTTCTTAAATCTAGTTTTGGTTTTATTGTTATTATATTGAAACCTACAACAGGAACCTTAAAGTCTGTTTTACTACAGTAGACATGAATGTTTCAAGGGGCATATTATGCATTTTCCAGGCATATAGACAATTTGTATCACATTTGTGTAACCATGTTATGAAAATGCTGTATATATTAAAAACTAAAATGAAATCCAATGACTTGAAATTGGCCTTCTACCCGTTCTGACACTCCCCCTTCAGTATGTTATCACAACAATACTTCTACATGCATTCACTGATGCCACTTACAGCCTTTTTTAGGAGTGACACTTACTCATTACTGCTGCTGCTAGTCTGGTGGAGCCGTGTAGGGGATGGATGTGACCTACGTACAGAAGCTGAGGTGGAGCTTTGGGTAAATAGGTAGCTGGCATGATTCTGGGTATGCATTTGATATTGATATATTATAGCATAAATGTCAAAAAACAGACACAAAGAGTAAATACCACCACAGCATTTGATCTCCTTTGTCAAACATGAAAAAGTTGCATTGCTAATGTTCCAGTCAGCTGCATCACACCTAACTGGAGAATATCAACAGTCATCAATAAAAAAAAACATTCAGAAAGAAATAATTTCACAACATAACTATGGTAACCAGTTAACCAATGCTTCAACTGAGCAGAAACAAGCTTGTAAAAGTTGGATGACCTTAACAAATCAAAGAAGCAGCCGTCTGCAACAAGCCGCCTGTTCACACATGAACAGATTCCTTTTGTTCCCTCTGAGTGCAGCTAAGCTGTCTCTCTATTATCCCAAAGCCCTGGTTATTTGTTGGGAAACATGATGGAGGTCGATACCAGAAGGACACTGGTGGCAAGAAGAACTTCTACAAGAGACTTCAAGAATCAGCTGCTTCCCTCTGCTATTGTTTGTTTGTTCTGCTATCACCAGCTCGTGACTTCTAAGGGTAAAATGTCGTGTCGGGTACCCTCTGTGGCGATCTCCTGCACTTGGACACCAACCTCTTCGCCCAAGAAGCTCGTCACAGACAAAAGAGGCCTCCTCTGCTGTCAAGATAATGCCACAGCAGCTATTGTAAAGTCATATGGCCATTGTGCGGTGAATTTCTCTGCAGGTTTGCAGAGGCCCACATACAGAGACACACTTCGGCACAAAGACACACAAAGACGACAGAGAACGATGACAGAATTGGACGCCTCTGAAGACGCTGCTCGTAGGAGAAAAGACGGGACTGAGGCGGGGGGGAGGGGGGGGGGGGGACAAAAGAAGAGCGTTTCAAAAACACTTCTGAATACCGAGATCAAAGAGCAGAGAAAAGCGTGTGTGTAGAGAGGGAAAAAATAAATCATAAATACTGAGTAAACAAGGCGAAATGGAGTGAGTGGTGGAGCACAGCAGGGAAACGGAGGTGTCATAGCATCTTAACCACGACCACAAGGTGTCTTTTTCTCGCCGCACACACTCCAGGTCGGGTTATCTGCTGCCAGAATTGACTTTTCTCTTGGTGTCGCCGAAGGCCGGCAGGTGTTTGTGCAGCGCGGCGAGGCAGCTGCAGCAGAGTGAGGAGATAACAACCAGAAAAACAAGCCCTACTCCTCCACCTCCTTGTCTTCTTTTCTTCACTTTCTGTGACGGGGTTTTCTGAGGATGCCACAATCAGACAGACTTTTTTTTCCCTTTTTTAAACCCCCACTGTGGTAGAAAAACGTTTTAAAAGGGGGTAGATTCAAACCTGGGCCTGAAAAGAGTCAAAGAGGAAAGGGGTTCGTGACCTTCTGTGGGATGAGTGCACCCCGAGGACCAGTAGCGATTTGAGTGTTGCACCCTGTTTGTTCCGCTGCGCTGACATTTCATCACCTTTTATTAAGGTGGGAAGCCGTTATCACGGCTGTTTCTGTCTGTGTGAGTAAACGTGTAGGTGGGAAAGAGCACTGCGCGTCGTTTTTGGTCGTTTTGTCAAGCAATTTGAGACATTTAAATTTGTGAAAGTTGAACACCATCATTCATAAGTTCTCTTACACCTATTGCAGGTGGCTGTAAAAGCTTTTCTCCACAAACTCCATAAATTAGGTTTTAGAGACGAGTTTGGTTGTTTGCAAAATGACTAAGTTGTTTTTTTCCCTGCTGAAAGTTTGGGCCAGGTTGGTCCACTTTGCAAGATATTTTTCCCTAACAATTAAAGTAGAGTCAGTTTTAGCTGGTTGGAGCTTGGATATCTTTTAGACAACTGCTATGAAGATTAAGATGCAAAAAGCTTTAGAGTATGGTAAACTATTATGAGGTGTGGTCAAACTGTCTGCTATTCACAATCCTCTCACTTAGACAATGTGTTCTCTGTACCCACAGATCCATTTGTTTCATCTCTTCTCAGTTTTTACAGAGAACGCATTTAAACACTAAAATACTTTTAAGACCATTATGTTGCACTCTGAACCTTTAACATAATGATCTGCGGCTGAATCCAACTTGTCAACCCGCTCCATCATATTTCATTCACAATTACTGTCTGTCATTGTTCAATTTTAAAAGAAATCACTTTCAAAGAACAAAGAAACGACCAATGTCAGAATGTGGAAGTTGAGGTCTTTAGGGGTGAACATTCACTGTGAACATTTTGGGAGATTTCCGGGCATGAAATATGTGGAAAGCCTAAAATAAAATACAGGGCAACCAATTGATTTTCAAAGTGTCTTAATAAGTAAATTGAGTCCATCTGGGACTCAATATCAGTACAAATCCAGCTGTTCTAAAAAGACCTGAGGGACTTGTTAGAAAAATCAGAAAACAAATCAGATCAACAGAAAAACCAAGAAGCACAGCAGACAGGTCAGGGATGAAGTTGTGCAGACAATCAACACAGGGTTAGGTTTCAAAGTGAAAGTTCTGGTCAGTCCATCATCAGAAAATGGAAAGAGTATGGCACAGCTGCAAACCCACTGCCCAGACAACCAGAGCAGCAAAAAGCTGTTTTATTTATTTATTTATTTTTTTCCAAATCTGGAGCGATAAGAAGGCCAAAGGAAGTCATGTTTGCAATTTGATCCAAACGTGTTTCCAGAAGTTTTAGAAACTCTTGAGGGGACTTCAACAATGCACAATTTATTTGACTGTCAGTTTTGTGTTACAACAGAGAAATCTCCCATTAAAGTGGTACATCCTGTGCAGTTTATGCTTGATATAACCCAGGAAAATCTTTCCACCAAGATAAAATATATTTATTTTAAACCTAAACTTTGCCAATTACTCTGTTACTTTATTTTTCATGGATTATATTACTTTTATAATTATTACACTTATCCCTCATTGAGTCGTTTTTCCACAGTGACAGTTTCATCTCCTTGCTAAAACACACTTCCCTCCTGTTTCCACGATAATCCTTGCTCTGAACTCGCTCCACGTTTGTTGAATTCCTCCTAGATTCCACTTCTGATAGCAGAGTGAAGGCAACAACACACCCTCGCACTGTTTAGCCATTTCCACAATCAAATGGAAGAGTCTTGGGGGCAAATTCTACAAACAGTGCTGTAATATAAATTGACCATGTTAAAGGAATGGTGACAACATGCGCTCCCCTGTGAGCGCTTAGCTTTCCAGGAAAAAATGGGCTAAAATGCAGAGGCTGCAGTTTTTTGTTTTCTCCATCCACAAACTCCACACCACATGTCAGCAGCTGCCACTCTCTGGAAGTTTGTTTTGTTTTAGCACATGATGTAAGGCTAATAAATCCACTCCTCCTGAATTTTTTCTTTACCCATGAATTCCATTATCTGCTTGACAATCCAGGATAATTGATATATCTTTCTCTCATTTTCGCTCTCCTCCTCAGAGCAAAGGCACTTCAATTATTCATTGTCTTCACTTTACACAGAGACAGAGAGAGATCTACCATACGCCACAAAGGCTTAACGCACGTTGTCACAGTTAATGGAAGGAGCAATCAAATATTTTAGGGAAAACCAAATATGCGGATGTGTCGGCTGCAATTTAGTGAAACATATTTTAACAGTGCGGATCTGAAGAAAGGAGAGAGCCAAAATGATTCAGGGAGAAATCGAATGAGACGTTTGATGAATTTTCACCTCTTGTTGCAGAGATTGTAAGTCGCCACCTACCTCTTAGGACAGGAGAGGAGAAAAAAAAAAAAAAAAAGTTGAGCTACTGAGAGTGCTGGGTGTGGCGCGGTGGCATTAAGTGGCGTAATTAATAGCATTCTCACAAATCGGTGGAAGTTATTAGGGTTGCATGGGAGAGAAAGTCGCGCCTTAAGAGGCTCTCAAATTGCACTCCAAGATTTGTCACTTCCAGCAGTCGTTTAAAAGCTCATTTGAAACTGTTGACCCCAGTTAACAGAACAAGCCTATTTAAGCTTTCAGTGAATGACTTCATATTTAAGGGAGCTAAATGAAGACAGAGATATTTGAAAAGCACCAATTTATTACCTGATAGAGACAGCAGAACTTCATTATTATACACTCTTCCTTTATCTGCAGACAGGTTTAATGTAAAGATGAAAATAAAAGATTATCTCTGAAAAACATCCATCACTGAAAATATCAGAAAATGTCACATGTGAGGGGGGGAGGGAGGAAAAAAAAAAAAAAAAAACACGCCATAATACACTTGAGGAAATATTTGCCAATCTAAAAATTTCACACGGTAAATGTTAGCAGAGAAACAGTGAAGCTGCCAGTGGAATCCAATTAAAGCAATCCCCAAATTTTTTTTTTTTTTTTTTTTTTTTTGAGGATTTTCACAGGAATGCCGGCAACTGGAGATATCGGTGCATAAATTAACCGGAGCGGACTTAATTACACACAAGCAAAGCAAGAGGTAGATGGAAGAAAAGAAGGAAAGAAAGGTAAACAGGAAGGAATGGAGGTGCAGAGATTTGTTTTTTTTTTTTCCTTTTACACCAATAAGAAAGTCTGAGATGCTCACCGTGCTGCGGGCTCCTCCATCTGTCTCTGACACACACACACACACACACACACACACACACACACACACTGAGCAGAAGACACACTCCTCAGTCCTCAGCGGTCCAGCAGGAGCAGGTTAAAGGTGCCTCCTCTCCTGGCTCTGCTTGTGAAATACACACACATCGATACTTTTCACCTAAAAGAAACTGAAGTTTTACATTTTTACTAAATAAAGAAAAAGAAAAAAATAACCCTACATTCTTCCCCCTCCCCAAAGAAATTAATTTCTTCCTTTTCTTTGCTTCTGTTTTTGGAGATGTGAGTATTTTATGCTTTGCACACAAATGTGATGCATAGACTCGGCTTGCTCATATCTGCCTGCTCCGCACGTGGGCGGGTGTAAATCCTCATCCTGCTGTATATCCATTAGTAATGCAACACTCTAAAAATAAAGTGTGCCCCGGCGTATCAGTGCCTATGAACATGTTGCCTGTGTAATCACATTTTATATACTTCTTTTTTATCTGTTGTTGGAAGAGAGATGGAGGGGATTTTTATTTTTTTTTTCCCTCCATCCTCGCTGGTGCAGCAGCTATAGATGGGATGGATAGGCCAGTTGTTCCAACCAGGTGTTGGGTTTGCTTGGTGAAAGGTGAGATAAGTCCTGATTCTTTAACCCCGTTCTTCCTCCTCCTCTTTGCTGCACCGACACAAATCAGCATGCTTAGAATACACTGCATAAGTTATCAGCTCCTTGGATAGCGACACGTGAGGGGGAAGAGCGGCGGCAGAAAAAGAAGAGGAGACTTCTATCACTTAATGAAAAATAGCTTCTCTTTTGGACAGAACTTCACAGGGCTGCAATCAAGCCCGGGCCCCCAGTTCTTGACGTGCAATCGAGGCAAATCAAGTCAGCATCTATTAATAATATTTCCCTGGCTCCTTTCATTCCAGCGCATGTCCTACCACTGTCAACGCTGTGATGGAGCACTGCCTTTATCTCCACCCTGGCCTGCTCTGTCACAGTGATAAACAATTCTAACAAGAATCAGAATAAAGATCTCCCCAGTAGACTTTCAGAGATAGAGGGGGCCCTTTTTTTCTCATTTTCTAGACGGCAAAATTTAATCTAGTCCCCTCCCCGACAACCCCAACACAACCCCCCCATCCCTCCTTCCGCCTGCTTCCTCTTCTGCTCCCCTACTCATCTTCTTTTTTTCCCCCCTCTGCTTCCTTCTTCCCTGCTACTTCTTTTTTTTTTCAAACCATCACATTCAAAGAGATGCAAATTTCCTTAGAGCTGGGACCTGATGGAGTTGGAGTGAATGCGAAAGGGTTTGGAGAAAGTCTGTGCGCGAAGGCCTGGTGAAGCCATCTCTCCTCAGTCAGCCTGACCACGTCACCAGATAAACTGTGAGCGGTTTGTGACTGAACATCCCCTGCGTCTTCTGGATGAGCAGTATGATAGAAAGTTTCGTGTTTCCAATGCCCTGAGTTTTGTTTTCATGTTGTAAAAAAGTTTTTAACTTTCAGAGTTTCTCTTCCTCAAGGAGGGTCAATAGCAATAGAGGGTTTTGTGTCTGATGCTGTTATTTTTAAAGCTTCCCAAGACTTTTTTGAGGCTGATATTAACTTTGATTTTTTTTTTTTTCCCCCTTCAGGATTTTGCATTGTCAGAAAATCAATGTGTTGAGTGGCATCGCACCAAAGGTCAGATCCAAATAAGAGCAAAATTCACTAAATTAGAGATGGATGCTACATTGAGTACTTTGTTTTCCCAGAGTCTGAGAGAAGAGCAAATAAAAAGCACCAAAAGCAGATGAGATGTGACTTCTACTTTACAGTCTTGGTTTTCTAGAGCCAGACTTGGATGCTGGGAATAAACATGCACAGGGAATCCTCCTCAATGTAGAGGGAGAACAACTTGAAGGTCTAACGAAACAACATGTGTGATGGTGCGAGCTTGAATATGCTATGTGTTTTTCTAACTACCTGGGATTGGCAGTACACCAGTCATGAATTGAAGTTTTATGTGCTAATGTGCCTATTTTTCATTAGCAAAGTGGATGAGCTTAAGAGGTGTGATCCAAACCCAGCTAAATCAGGAGAGAGCTAACGGAGGTTTCTGGTGTGGAGGCTTTTGTAAGGTAATGTAGAGAGCTGACTGTATCTTCACTGGACCTTTAAAAATACAGGCTGGAGGCGTTTACAGATGCCACCGCTCTCCCTGGTTCTCGGTCGGCCATTTCTCTAAATGGCATGGTTAATTCTTGGGCTTGAAGCACAACAGCCGGTGGCAAGTGACAGTCACACAGCAGAAGATTAGTGTCTAGCCATTTCTACCGATTTAGTTTTTAGGTTCCCATGTCTACCAGAAAGACTCAGGACGTGATCTGATGATGCTTCATCCTGCCCAACAGCTCAGCATGAGGCGACGGTGCCAAGCACAGCAAAGAGAGGACTAGTAAAGATGGATTACATACGAACAGATCTGTGACAAGCCGGGCGACAGCCATGCAGGCAACAGCAGACAGTGAGAGACAAAGAAGTGAGGGGCCCAGTGGGACATCAGCGATGGAGGGAACAGGACCTGGCACACAGGTGAGGGAGGAGTCATGTGACTGGGAGTGTTATTTGGGTGGGGGAGGGGCCTGAAGAGGCAAAGGGAAGAATTTGGGAAGGGGCATACAAACCTATGCATTTTTCCTCCCTGTGGTCTGGCTTTCCACACAGACCCACAGTCACAGCATCAGACTCTGGATCAATAGAGCCAGAAATATTGCATCTAATCCTCTACCTGATGCATTTTTAATTGTGAGAGAGAGAAGAGGAGGGCGAGATGGGTGGTGGGTGTCACAGCAGGGAGGATGGACGCCCCTTCTCAGCATCAGCTGTGTCACTGAAGTTAGATGGGTGACAAATCAGCTAACACAGATGAGGAGTTCAGAGTGCAAAAGATGGATCACAGAGGAAGACCTGGTCTTCACGCTACAGAGAATGAAGAGTTAAAAGTGGGAGTTCTGGTTTTCCAACAAGGTCTCTGGAAATAGTTCTTAATGCTGATATTGAGAAATTCCCTACACTCCTTGTAGCAAAGTTGCTGCATTTGTTTGTTCACAAGTTCCCACCACAGCATTTCAGTCAATATGAACTCTGGGCTTATAGAATGTGTTTTTGCAAAACCTTGATTGTTTTTTTTTTTGTTTTTTTTTCCATATCTTCTGTCATAGATTTGCTATTGTGCTTGTGGCCACTGTGTTGCAAATGTCTCAGTTTTGAATCAAAGTTCAGCTATTGGAAAGATGGTCTCACATTTGGCTTTAGAATACTTTGGCCTACAGAGTTGATGGTCAAATGAAAGACTGCAGGGACAGATGTTCTGAAAACAAGCCCACATGGACAGTCTCCCACCCCCGTACTTGAGAGGTGCTTGGGCTGACATGTTCCGTTTGGTTTTCTGTAAAAGCGGTGCTGTGGTTTCATCTACTCAAAATGACATCATTTCAGAACTGTGGGGGATCTTGTGAATAAGCTACGCGGCTATATTCTGTTTTACAGTGAAAAGCCATTTTTTTCATCATGTCCAAAACAAGTGTACATGTTTTTATGTTCTACTTTAAAACTTCAAAGTCCTTTTCTTAGCACTATGCAGCTTGCACAGTTAGGTGAGTGTTTCACTAATTCTGACTTTATGTTATATATTTGTTATATATATATATATATATATATATATATATATATATATATATATATATATATGTTTTTTTCTTCAAAAGCAGTGTAGGAATACAGAAATGCAGTATAGTTGTACATATGATAGCATGTGTACAGTTTTTCAAATAAAGCCATAATTCAGAGGTGAAATCCAGCCAAAGCAGCGCAAGGGGTCAGGGGTCATGCCAGGGGTTAGGACATGACCCCTCGCATGCTGAAAGATGTATAAACAAAAAGTGGAGCAGGCAGTATGTACTTATCTTATCAATGACTATAACAATTAAAATTTCCAAATGTTTCTCAACTCCAAACAAGAGGATACTGGGGACATCAATTTGACTTGCTAAAGAAAAGAATAATGTAGCCTAACTCGGTTGGACATCAAAGCACAAATGCAATTCTTAAAGGGCTGGCCTTGTTGCTTTGAAAAACAAGAAAGACCTAATTTAGACTGAAAGGACTTTGATTTTTTCTTTTTTTTTCTTTTACATTTGCATAAACAAATAAAAGAACATGTAAACTGTCCGTCTTTGAAAAGACAAAGGAGACAATCCAGATACAAGTAAAACTGTGTGAAGATGGCTTTAAAAAGTGGAAGAAAAACATGGCAATTAAGAATTTTATTCCAGTTTAAATGCTTCTTTTCTTAGCTCAATGCTACATTCTTGAGGAAATGTAAAATTTTCGATTGAGAGAGAGTTAACATTCATTTCCCTGATTCCTATTCATTAAAGACATGTTTTAACTTGTGTTGTTTTTGTTTGTTTTTTTTTCTTCTTGCAAGTCATCCCGTATCACTTCAAATCAAGAATTTCAATTCACTTCATGAGGTTTAACTCAAACCTGCTGCACCTGTTTCCTTATGTTGATGATTTCAGGGGGTCTGATCTCATCCTCTACCTCCTTTGCTTTCCATATGCATGCATTGCTTTGAGATTGCATTACAGGATCATATGAAATAATTCTGCAAGCATAACCCTCTTTGCCATATAGACCAAGGGTGTTTTTAAAGAAAAAGATATCCTTGCAGGTTTGACCCATATCATTAGTTCACTTAAGTTTTCAGGCTGCAAATTAAAGTTAAACTACTGATCAACTTTGTAAACTTTAAGCCTGATCTGCAATGAGGCGATTTAGAGAAAGTATCCATAAACGGAGCCAAAGCGGATTTGCAAAAGATACGTGCTCCATTCGACAATGCCAAGAAACCAAATTGGTAAACAGGTGTGTGAGTGTGTCGCTATTAACACCTTGGGAATGGTCCGTGGTTCAGTGTTTCCTCATGAAATGTGATTTTATAAATCCCTCCAAAAAAAAAATTATAATAACCTAGATAAGCTCGGGGCTTAAGTGATCCGCAGAATCAGTGGTTTGGGAGTTTAACATCAGTACCTCTGAAGGTAATTCTGATGCAAATGTGCATGAAGACTCCTAGATAAATGCCTGTGGCTGGTGAATGAGGTCCAGGTGGGAATGTGCTTTATATGTTTCAAGGAATCAAAGGAAGGGAGAAATATTCAGAGTGAGGGAGAAAAAATAAGTACAAATCCTAAACAAAATGCAGATGGCAGCTGTGCTGACTCGCCTCTTAGTGCTTTGTGACGGGCTTTGCTTTATTTCACAGGGTACCATCCCTCCCTCCCCTCTTACCTCTCTATCTCACCTTCACTTTCCTCCTTAGTCAGTTGGCTGACATCTCAGCCACCCTTCCAAGACCTGCTGCTCATCACTGCTCACTTCCTACTTTTCCATTTGTTGACCATTTTCAGCTGGTATAGCAAGAAAGATGCTATGCCAGTTCCTCCTGAAGAGTCAAAATTGTAGTATTTAGTCTTAAAATAAGTTTAGATGGATTGTTATAGTCTGAGCTTTAACAGCTTTTTAATTTTTCAAGACCTATCACATTAAATTAGAATCATCACCACATAAATCTGTAATCCCTAATTTTGATTAAAATCATGTTAAAATACTGTGCACTTGTCTAATTCAGAAATACAATTATTGTATCACTCTGAAAAGGAGACTTAGCTTTGTATCAGTACAACCCTCTGAGGTAATGAGTTCATCATGTGCACTATAAACTTTCTCCTGTTAAACCTTGAAAAAGTTACATTTAACCTCAATAAACATTACATTTAATTAAAAAAAGTGCAAAAATAACTAAATTGCTTCCTCATACTACTGTGAACTTAAATTATGCTAATTCTAGAATGATACCAGGATATTTTTCTAGCAAGCACAGTTTTAACTAACCTTGACAAGGCATCAAAATTCACAAGGCAAGGGACAGGGACACGGTTTCTCTACCTCCCACCAGCTTAACATAACAGATATTCAAAATTAGCTTCTGGAAAGTCCGGTTACTTGTTTAAAATACTTTTCAGCATTAAAACTCACCAAGATGACTCACAAAGTTTAGCACGGTTTGTCTATGGTCTGCCTCTTCCATAGAAATGAGCGTTAAACACTGTCGCGCTTCCTTTACAAACCGGAAATAAAAGCAGAGAGACGATCACATTTCGTTTTTCAAAATAAGAGTTCTTTG